TGTCATTTTTTCAGAAACAATAGACATATAGAAAATAGTACCATTCTCAGTGGTGGAGCCAGGGGCTTATCCCCTACCCATTGGACTCCATGCAGATGTGAGGGAGGAGAGGGGCAAAAGCATTGTGGTGGAGTCAGGGGGCTTGTGCCCCTACCCTGCTAGACTCTATGAAAAAGGATAGCCCCTCTACTCCAAACCCGACTCCGCTACTAGGCACTCTCTCTCTCTCTTGCGTTTTCTTGTGGAGACTATGGCCGTTTAATGGAATTGCGTGTTCTCCAATTCAATGCAGAAACCATGAGGGTTAGGCGACGGAGCTCCTCCTCGGACTGGAGACCATTGGTTGGTCATTCGTCATCGTGCTCAGCTTCCCTATGAGAGTGGACATCGAGGGCAGGGGATGCTGATGGGCGAAGCCTTATCCCCTATATACTACTAGTATACTGTACTTGTCCTTATACTACTATACTCCTATACTACTATACTATGTATATGTATTTATACATAGATATATATACTTTTAATATATACTTCTTCCGTTTCAGGTTACAAGACGTTTTGACTTTGCTTAAAGTCAAACTACTTTAAGTTTAACTAAATTTATAGACAAATATAGTAATATTTATAATATCAAATTAGTTTCATTAAATCATAATTGAATATATTTTCATAATAAATTTGTCTTGAGTTGAAAATGTTGTTATTTTTTCTACAAACTTAGTCAAACTTAAAACAATTTGACTTTAACCAAAGTCAAAACGTTTTATAACCTGAAACGGAGGGAGTACATACCAAGTCATTTTTTATGTATAAAAAAATATATACACGTATACAAACTTGTACGTGCATATGCAAACTTCCGTAATTTTGATAATTTGACCCTTTGAAAAAACTTATTTTGATATTGATCTGTGTCAAAAATTAATTTCAAAAATAGGCCGTTTTCTCGCGCCATTGAGGTTGGCGTTGAGCTACAACATCTTCGCGCCACTTCCTTTGGCGCTGAGATGCTGTCCGACATGTCACGGGTGTCACGGGTGTCATACGTCATGCGATGTCAGCGCCAAATTCTATAAATACTATGCATGTACATCCTTGCTAAATGGAAGATCTAGCCTAGTGGTGAAAGCCTGCCTCTCTTTAGTAGAGGTCAGGCGTTCGAACCCCTAGCTTTAGAATCAGATGAGCTTAACCTGTATAAATACTATGCACGTACATCCTTGCTAAATGGAAGATCTAGCCTAGTGGTGAAAGCCCCCTAGCTTAAGAATCACATGAGCTTTTTAAATAGAAGAGCAATAAAAAGTAAAGTAATCACAAGAGCTTTTTAAATAGAATAGCAAGAGGAGAACGTGCGTTACCGAGGATCGAACCCGTGACGTCAAAAAAATTAGCACGAAGAGCTCTCCACCAAGCTATCTCGTTTTTATTTGCAATGGTAGCTTATAGCTTAGTAATATTTGTAGATTGAAGAGAGGTCAGCGCCAAAGTTTTAAATATAATAGCAAGAGAGGATAAGTAAAGTTGGAGAACGTGCGTTACCGAGGATCGAACCCGTGACGTCAAAGAAATTAGCATGAAGAGTGTCGACGTTTGATGTCGCGATTCCGGTATTTGCATAGTATGGGGATCGTTGGTACTAGGATATATGCGAGATTGTAGTAAAAGAGACGGAGACGAGGATTTTTATATAGATTCGGGCCCCTAAATTGTCAGGTAATAACCTTACATCCTGTTGGCCGAAGCTGGTGTTACTCTTTATTCATCATAATCACACCAATACAATATTTGGGGTAGCCTATCTAACTGTTGTCGATGTGGCGGCCATGAAACCATCCTGTAGTCGACAACAGGGTAGTCTTCCTCCTCGGGTTCGTGCCCAGCGAGATAAGAGACAACGCTAGATCCCTACAGCCGGCCTCTATAGGCTTGTCTTGGCGTATGTAGGCTTGTATGTTGATCTTGTATCTTGATCTATTGTTCCGTATCCCCTCTCCTCCTAGGGTGTCTTGTATTTATTCCCATAGGTGTCCCCTTGTCTAAGTAGAACTAGGGAAACTAATATGGATACAATCCGAGTAGTACTTGTCGTTTCCATATAGAACTCTGGTTGTCTTTCCTTATTCGGAACTCCCTCTATATCCGAAGTCAGTTCCCGTATAAGACATGGTATGTGGTGGGTCCTGCCGAGATTTAGTCAACTAATATTAGTTATGTGGTATCCATAACCGTGACAAAGAGCTCTCCACCAAGCTATCTCGTTTTTATCTGCAATGGTAGCTTGTAGCTTAGTAATATTTGTAGATTGAAGAGAGGTCAGCACCAAAGTATAATACTTTGGCGCTGACCTCGGATGACGTGCATCTCAGTGTCAATGATAGTGGCGCTGAGATGTTATAGCTCAGCGCTAATCACAATGGCGCTGAGAAAATGACCTATTTTTGAAATTAGTTTTTGGTACGGTTCAATCTCGAAATAAGTTTTCTAAAAGGGTCAAATTGTCAAAATTACGGTGCAAACTTTGTATACACTCGTATGCAAAGTTTATATACGTACATACATATGCAAACTTTGTATACGTCAAATGCAAAGTTTGTATAAGTCCGCATGTAGTATACAAAGTTTGTATACGACGTATGCAAAGTTTGTATATATACGTATGCAAAGTTCGTATATATATCTATATATGCACAAACTTTATATACGGATATATAGATTTAAAACTGGAAGAAACATACGTATATCTCTACTATTATAATGTTTTTTTTAGAAATTTTGGTACGTCATCCGTATTTGAGTTGGTTTTTAATCTTTATATACCTTTTTTGGGTCCCATCTAACATACTAACCCCAAAAAACAATAGGAAATAAAAAATTCACATGTGTTAGATTTCAACACAAGCGAATTTGCAGCCGCGCGATGTACATGCCTGATTCCCACGCACGTCAATCTGATTTTCCATCGTTCCGACCTTCATCCGCATCCTGATGCTCAGCCCTGCATCATGCAACTTTTTCTCTCGCGCGCATGTCCGTTGTTGCTGCGATTGCCCGACGCAGAATAGGGCCTTCCATCCCCAGCCACATACGGAGTACATAATAAATCAAAGTTGAGATGTAGATAGATCGGATGGAATCAAAACTCTTGATTTGCAACATTGTTTTGTTAGAATCAAAGCTAAATTCACAGAGTTTTCCCTCTTATCAGGTAGGTCTCTTGTTCTCATTGTGCTAAGGCATGCATGCAAACTACATGCGGTTGTTGGGTTGATTATATGATTAGATCTAACTGTACATAGAAGTCAATTTGAGGTTTATTAACTGTTTTTTTTCCAAACACGTAATTGGTGTTTTTGACGAAGATACTGGAGATCAATTAATTCCAACAGGTAAACATTGTTGCTTATGGTAGAGTATAATTTTGGTCCAACTCAGTACAGAGTAGTTTTGGTCTAACTTGACAGTCGAGCCAGCAAATATTTTTTTAATCGATGTGCCCCACAAGACAGATTTCTCACCCCTCTCTATCTTTTTCCCTATCACCTCTCTATCTCTCTACTATATCCCTCTCATCCTTAATCCCTATCCTCTCCCTCTTCTCCATTCCCTTTCTACGGCGAGTGGCAGTGGCCAGCCCACCAAATTTGCCGCCCGGGCAAACACGCCACAACTCTCCCGCATGTGCTCACCTGTGACCAACGGTGGAGCTCAACGTCGCTTAGGGAGATGTTGCGGTGGAGCTTGAGCTCGCCTCAGGGAGCATGGAGGTGACAGAGCTAAATCTCACCCAAAGGCGGCGACAACGATGATGGAGCCGGAGCTCGCACGAAGGGGGAGGCAATGGTGGTGGAGCCAGAGCTTGCATCACTACTAGAAAACTCATTTTCGGCGTCGTAGGGGATCGATTTTCGCAGGCGGGCATGTAATTTGGAGCCAAAACCCCGCCGGCAAAAAAAAGTACCCGGGGTGGAGGGGGCGGTCCGCCTGCGAAGATCAATCTTCGCAGACGCCGCTTATATGGCCCGCCTAAAAAGATGCCCCTATATAGTCTTCTTCCTCCCTGAGCCATGTTCATTCTCCCCGAAGTTTCTCTCTCCTAAAGTGACTTAAATATAGGGGGGGAGGTTTTGAACTTCAAATCTTCGGAGGATTTTTCTACGGTACTTAGATCTACTCATTTCCACACTAGGTATGCAATTTTTTAAGCTTTTAGACCTTAATTTGTGATGGATTTATGCATGCAAAATTGTGAAGGAAGAGCTCCATGTTTTTTAATTTTATTTCTTTTGATATGTTGATGTTAGATGTATGTGTAATACTTGATGCCTCTTGTTGTAGTGGTTTAATGTGGTAACATAAATTCTCATTTTTTTTTATTTTTGCTATCACATCCACCTCCTAGTTCTAGATCTAGATCTAGATCTTGTCATATATAGAGAGAGAATAAAATTTTTAATGTCTATTTATTCGGTGCAATTAAAAAAATAGTTATAGTATTTTGTAATATGCCGATGATATGATTTTGTTAGATTTTCCTAATGTACTAATTAGGCATGTCTGTGTAAAAAAATTGAAATAAACTTTGATTTTTTATTAATTTACACTTAACCTTTAGTTAATTAGTTTTGAATAGTGATAAGTTTTTTCAATAAACCCTACAAATTTGGTATTAATTGTGCAAATACTTTACGTGTATTTTTTTAGAGATATGGAAAGTCGGGAATGGATGTATCATTGGCCGAGGTTTTTGTCTCCATATAGAAACGAAGTGTCTAAATTTATTGTATTCTAAGGCACACGCTGAGAAGAACAATATGAGGAAGATAATTTGTCCATGTGCTGACTGTAAGAATGAAATAGCCTAGGACTTTGACGATGCTTTTAAAGTGAAGGAGCACTTAGTAACTCGTGGATTTATGGACAAGTACGAAATATGGACACGTCATGGCGAAGAACAAGTGGACGGGCCTAAAAATGTAGTTCCGACACAAGTTGAAGACATGGTGCATGACGATGGTTCTGTTGAGGACAAAATCGATCTAGAGGAAATGTTACGTCAAGCAGAACCCGAGATGCTGATGGGGTCGGCTAGAGGGTTAAATAACTTTGAAGCTTTACAGAAGGCAGCAAAGGAAGTTTTGTACGATGAGTCGAAGGGTTGTGACAGTGAGTTCACAACACTCCGGTCAGTTCTTGAACTTATGAGGTTAAAGGCGAGACATGGATGGTCTGATACCAGTTTCGACAGTCTGTTAGAACTTCTGCAGAAAATGCTCCCGAGGCCTAACTCACTACCATCCAGCACATATCAAGCAAAGAAACTCATATGCCCCCTTTCACTTGGTGTGAAAAAGATTCATGCGTGCGTAAATCACTGCATACTGTACAGGAAAGAGTATGCTTCTTTAGATGAATGTCCAACATGCGGTGGCATGAAGAAGGGCGCAAGAAGGATGGGATGATTCGACACCCGGCAGATGCTCATCAGTGGATAAACTTTGATGCTCAGTATAGAGAGTTTGCTAAAGACCCACGGAATATTAGATTTGCCCTGAGTACTGTTGGAGTTAATCCTTTTGGTGACATAAGCAGCTCACATAGTACTTGGCAAGTGCTTCTCACCATATATAATCTTCCTACCTGGCTTTGTCAAAAGCGAAAATACGTACTACTCTGTATCCTCATACAGGGACCCCATCAGCCTGGTATTGATATTGACGTATTTCTTGAACCATTGTTGGAAGATATAGCTGATTTATGGAAAGATGGATTGAAAGTGTGGGACGAGTACTTAAGGGAATACTTCACAGTGAAGGCCATCATCTTCGTGACCATTAACGATTATCCAGCAATGTTTTCAGTTTCAGGTCAAATTAAAGGTAAAACAGGATGTGTGATCTGCTTGAATGGAACGTACTATAGGTATCTCCCGGGTTCCAACAAGCTTGTGTACATGCGGCACTGGCGGTTCCTACGCACAAATCACAAGTACCGCAAGATGAAGGCGGAGTTCGATGGTACTGAAGAGACTGATCCTACACCAAAACCTATATCGGGAGAAAAGGTGTGTGCAATGACAGAGAAAATTGTTTGCGAGTTTGGAAAAATGACTAAGAAACCATCAAAGGGGACAAAGCGCAAGAAACCCGAGAAGAATACGAAACAAGGGGATAGTAAGAAGCAAGATGATAGTTCGAAGCCAGATGATAAACTCCCTCCCCCATTCAAGAAGCATTCCATATTTTTTAAGTACCTCCCGTACTGGAAAGATCTGGAGGTTTGGCATGCCATAGACGTCATGCATCTAGAGAAGAATGTGTTTGACAACATAGTTGGAACATTGTTGGACATGCCGAAGAAGACTAAAGATGGTCTGCAATCAAGGATGGACCTAGTCGAGATGGGAATCAGGGAAGAGTTACACCCTCAAGAAGGAGAAAAGAATGGCAAAGTATATCTTCCACCAGCCTGTTTCACACTGACACCTAAGGAGAAGAAGTCAGTTTGCAACTCACTCCGTGATGTCAGAGTGCCCATAGGTTTCTCATCAAACATCAGTCGACTAGTTTCAATGAAAGATTTTTCGGTATCTGGTTATAATTCATACGACTGCCATGTCTTGCTCACCGTGTTTCTTGCAATTGCAATAAGGGCCATAAAACCGAAGCATTTAAAGGTTGCTATCACAAGGTTGTGCTACTTTTTCAACGCAGTGTCACAGAAGGTTATTAGTCTCGAAGAGTTAGGAAATCTCCATACATTCGCACATGAGACACAGTGCCAACTTGAGATGTGTTTCCCTCCGTCATTTTTTGATATGATGGAGCACCTCATTGTTCACATAGTGCCGCAGATGGTTGCACTTGGCCCATTGTACCTCCATCAAATGTGGTCATACGAGCATTACATGGCGGTTTTGAAGGGTTACGTTCGAAATCATGCACATCCAGAGGGATCAATGGTTGAGGGTTATAGTACTGAAGAGGTTGTCGAGTGCTGTATCGATTACCTCAAATATGGATATGCAATTGGAGTACCTGTGCCTCGACACGAAGGCAGGTTGAGTGGCAGGGGAACGATAGGAAAGAAGAGATTCGTCACCCATGATCACAAATCATTCCAAGAAGCTCACTTTAGCGTGCTTCATCAGTTTGCTATCGTTGAGCCGTACATCGATCAACATATCGAACTAATACGAGCTAACAATAAGGGTCGCACCACCGAGTGGATAATGAAAGAACACAAGCGTCTCTTCATAGATTGGTTGCGAGACCTAGACTTACCTGAGGGACAAACTACCGATGAAATAACTATGAAGCGGTTGGCTTGTGGTCCATCAACTACAGTAAATTCTTGGCAAGGATATGACATTAATGTATACTCGTTTAGCACAAGAGCCCGAGATAATAAGACCTGTACGCAAAACAGCGGTGTCCGTGTGGAGGCAATTGATGAAGCCGGGGAAAAACAATCATACTTCGGGTTTATTGAAGAAATATGGGAAATCGACTATGGGCACATAATGCAATTCCCCATATTTAAGTGCTAGTGGGTAAAATACCCGAACGGGGTCAATGTTGATAAGTTTGGTCTTACTGTTGTTGACCTGGCGAGTGTGGGTCACAAGGATGACCCTTGGGTACTCGCCAATCGCGTGGCACAAGTGTTTTATGTGAAAGACCCTTCAATTTTGAAGAAAGATATAGTGCTACCAGGGAAACAAAAGATATTGGGAGTGGATGGGGTTGAAGATGTCGAAGATTACAACCAATACGATAGTATGCCACTTTATAGTCAGTTTGTACAGAAGATTAAGAATGTTGAGACATCTACTCAGAAGATCGTGAAGCCTTACATGCGCACGGACGGTGTGGGCAAAAATGTTAAAGGGTAATGATTGTTGAGTGGCATGTAAGCATCTAAGAAGTTAGTAGTTATGTAATGGTGGTATGTAAGGTGATGTGTGATCATATCGCAAATTGATGAACAATTGTACTAAACATTTTGCATATTAATTAGCTTGTACTAATTTTTATGTGCAATTACCATTTGTAGTGTAAAAAATTTGTTAAAAAATTTAAATTAGTAATATTTGAAAAGTGTAATTTTTTTTATGTGCAATTACCATTTTTACCATTTGTAGTGTTAAAAATTTAAATTAGTAATATTTTTATGTGCAATTACCATTTATACATTTGAAAAGTAATAATACTAAGGTTTGTATATTTTGTAATAATATTAAGGTTTGTATATTTTGGAATAAATATATTCAACTCTGTACCAATTTTCGCAGGCGGGCGGTCCGCCTGAGAAAATTGTTATACAGAGTAGGGTTTACATCTTCGCAGTCGGACGGCCCGCTTGCGAAGATAGTAAAACCGATCTTCACAGGCGGGCGGTCCGCCTGCGAAGATCGTTGCCCTATATAAGGGCAAGCCCGCGGCGCCAAAATTTCTAAGTCCAGGCGGGAACCCTCGAAATTTTGACGCCATCAGGCTGCCGAATTTTTTCGCCGCCGCACGCCTCCGCCGTCCTCCGCCGCCGCCCGCCTGCGACCTTCACTCTCCGACCGTCGTCCTCTGCCGCCGCCGACCGTTGTCGTCCGCGCGCTGTCACCGAGACCGCCGCCCCTTGCCGCCGCTCCACCTTGCGCGAGCTCCACAACTCTGCCGCCGCCGCCATCGACCCCTCCACCGCGCGCGAGCTATAGGCCGCCCGCTCCACCGCCGCCGGCCCCTCCACCGCCACCGGCCCCTCTACCGCGCCGGCCACCGGCCCCTCCACCGCGCGTGCGGTCGCCGCTGGCCCCTCCACCGCCGCCGGCCCCTCCACCGCGCGCACGGCCGCCGCTGGCCCCTCCACCGCCGCCAGCCCCTCTACCGCGCCGTCGGCCGCCCCTCCACCGCCGCCGGCCGCCACCTCTCTCTCTATCTCGCTCGCGGCCGAACGGTTTCATCGGCCGATCGTCGTCCACGAGAGAAGACGTCCTCGGCCGAACAACGTCTTCGGCCGGTCGTCGTCCACGGCCGAACCACGTCGTCGGCCGTTCGTCGTCCACGACCGAAGCCGGTCGTCGTCCATGGCCGAACCTCGTCGTCGGCCCTTCCTTCGTCGTCCACGACCGAAGCTCGTCGTCGGCCGTTCGTCGAACACGGACATGTGTGCATGTGGGTGTTTCTTTTTATATGTGTGTGCATGTGGGTGTGAGGGGGTATATATGTGTGTGCATGTGGGTGTGAATGGGCATGAGGGGTGGGTGATATGTGAATGAGGGGTTATATGTTGATTGTGAATGTGAATTTGGGAATGTGGGTGATATGTGAATGAAATTGGGAGGGTATGTTTAATTTTGCAAGATATGTGAATTTGTCAAATTTTTTAAATAACATGTGGGAGAGTATGTTAACATTTTTTTTTAAAAAAATGTGGAGGATATGTTTGCCTTTTCATTTTTTTAATCAACATGTCGATGAAATGTAACTGTCAATTAGTGCACTACTTGATAATAACATATCAAATTTTGTACAAATTTGTATGTACTAATTAATTTAGCATAATAGTAAGTAGTAATTAGTTTCGCAATTTAAATTTGTTTGTATTAATTAATTTAGCATAATAGTAAGTACTAATTAATAATATTTCACAATTTAAATTTGTTTGTACTAATTAATTTAGTATAATAGTTAAATTTGGGAATCTCTGAGAATTTAAATTTGTTCATACGGCATATTGTTAATATACAATTTATTTTTGTACAAAGTTGTTTGTACTAATTTGAGTAATTTAAAATGTGGACGATAACTCTTTTTTTTATATTAGAGGTTTGAAACGATGGCCGATAGTATTAAAGGGACTGAAGAGAAGGGTTTAGGGGAGCAAGAGCAGTCCCTTGCTGTTGTGGTTGCTCTAGAACCAACGGTCCCACCGGAAAGTAGTTCCGACAGCGACATAGCTAACGAAGACGAGGAGTACTCGTCGCCAAACGATCCTTGTCCAAGCCCAAGCCCGAAGAGAAGGAAAAAGGGCGACGGTGAAGAAGGCGACAAGGACTACATTCCCCCTAAAGAAGGGGTAAGTAAACTTAATATGTAAAATGTTCACCGTGATAACTATTAGCTCGAGCTAATTCGAAACTTCCATGTATACCTTCTCGTAGGAAATGGCGCCACGGCGATCAAAACGGCAGCCGAAGAAAGAAGTTCCGTCGAAAGACGACGACGTACCAGCTAACACAACCGGCACAAAAAAAAGCTAACACAACCGGCACAAAGATCCCCATCACGGTCAAGGACTGGGATCATGTATCGAATGGGGATAAGGAAGTCCTATGGAAAGAGTTGAAGAAAATCTTCTAGTTCCCGGATGGATCAGAGGCAGCAGTGTGGAATTGTGCACTGCAAACAATGGCCAAGTCTTGGCGTGGTTGGAAAACCACCTTGAACAAGAAATTTGTGAAGACAGGACGCACACCATTTTCGACATATACCAACATAACCCCGAATCAGTGGGACGACTTTCTGACGTTGAAGAACTCCCCGGAAGAAATTCAAAGGAGCCAAAAGTATGCAGAGTTGGCCAAGAAGAACAAATTTCCTCATCGCTTAGGCTCTGTGGGATATGCACCAAAGGTGGAGCAGTGGACAAAAGAGGAGGAGGAAATGAGGAAGAAGAGGCAACCTGTACCAATGGAGGAGTGGATACAGAGATCAAGGAACTGGGTAAGAGCTAGAACTCCGAAGATCACGGATGAAGGAAAAGTATCATTTGAAAATCCGGAGCTGCATAGCGTTGCCGATAAAATAGAAAATTTATCCAGTTCACAAAAGAAAGGATCTTTCAAGCCTAAAAGGGAGAAAGATGTGCTAAGTACGGCGCTGGGTACTCCTGAGCATGGGGGAAGGGTTTGAGGTGTGTCGAGCAAGATGAGTTGGAAGGAAGGGTTCAAAAATGACCCCCACAAGAAGCGTGAAGCGTACAAGGATAAACTTAGAGACGAAGGGGCTGGGGAGTTTAAAGGGCAAATGATGGATTTCTGCGTCAAGCACATGCTTTTGCCTCGCCCCGAAACCAAAGAACCTGAGCCAGATTACCCCTTCGATGACCTCAAGGAGAATACACCCTGCAGATTGCACGTTCCGATTGGACGCTCCGGGAAAACTCTTGAGGCCGCTACAGCCATTGCTATCCCTGGGAGAACATACAATGAAGAGTTCATACCCGATGCGTATGCCAAGGTGCAGCCGCAAGTGGTCCACGAAGGGTTTGAGTCCTACGACATTGACTTCCCGACTGCAGATGGTGTATCCGTACTTGGGGATGCGGTCGATCTTGTAATTCTCTGGCACAAGAATGACATATCCTTTGGATTGGGCACCGACGCCACTCAAAAACCTGTGGTGCCTAAACCAGGGTTGGGAAAACCTCCGAGACCTCCTAAGAGGAAGGTGACTAATAAGGCGGAGGAACCCGAGATGCATAAGGAAAATCCAGTGCCGGAAGTGCCACCGGAGATTGCATTGCCGGAGGCAGCCATGGAGATTGCAACCGCCGGAGGCAGCCATGGAGATTCCAGTGCCGGATGTGCCCATGGAGATTACAGTGGCAGAACCAGAGGTGCAATTTGTGGCATCAGTCGGGTCAGAAATAGAAGAAGTACTAGGATTGGAATGGGATGGTACAGAGCCAGAAATATTTGAAGACCCTTCTCCTGCGAAAGACCCCGAGGTGCAAGAGACCACGGTCCCTGAGAAGGCCACTACCAGTTCTGAGGTGCCACGAGTGCTTAGGAGCCACGACTCCAAGTCCAAAGATGAGAACAAGGAGAAGTTCATGGTAACCATCTTCAGAGGAGGTAAGGAACGTGCCAAGCTTAGAGATGACGACCACCAGAAGGCTGCTGAACTAGCCGGGCCAACATACTTCGCAACCGATGATTGCCCGGAAAAGTACAAACATGGGAAAGCATTCTTGCTGGAATGGGCACTGAAAGAAGGACCATGGGAGATGAGAAGGTTACATATCTTCTACATGGAGGCCAGCAAGAAAGGCTTGGGCAATATAACAGCTCGATCACCGGCAGATTGCTTCGGCGAAGAAGGTTACGTATGGCTAGATTTCTCAGATTTCCACGCCATATATTGCGGGATAAGATGGACGTCAACTACGTCGATGTTTGGTGCATGTGAGCATGAGTTTTAATTAATTAGATGAAAAATATGTACAATACAAATCCATGTGATTGTTACTAACAAACTTCTTCTGTAGGATGCAATACATGGATGCTAAGAAGAAAAAAGAACCCATCGGCTTCTTGGATCCAACTCGGATCTGCCAAACACAGCATACGGTGAGGCTAGCACCAGGGTCTGACCAGCTGAAGGGCAAGAATCCAAAAGAGATAGCAGAATACAAGAAGGGCTTGCACAAGGAGAAATTGATTACTGTCGCACAGTACATTGGACGAGCCTTCTTGCACTTTCAAAATAAGAGAGTCGTTATGGCCGCTTATAATTTTAAGCAAGTCCGGTACATTTATCTTGTACACATATGTCTTATTTTAGCTGGTACTAACTAACTATACTGTTGTTAATATGTAGCGATCATTATATCTGTTTACTCATCCACCCTAAAGACGGAACCGTGGTAGTCTTGTACCCTCTCGATTACAGTCACAAGCAATACAAAGAATTTCTAACAATCTTACAGTAGCAAGTGATTATGACTCTTGCATTTGTATATGAATGTATTATAAATAAATATCCTCCTTACTGTGAAACGGTACGACATCCATACAGTGCATACCAATACTACAAGTTCAAGGGTGGAGAATAGACCCGAACACGGGAGAAGCTGCTAGTACGTACCTATTGGCCGGTAATACTCCACTCACTTAATGTATTCCAATTGATTCACTAATTGCAAATTTTAACTACTTTTTTCTATGATATGTCCTGAAATGTCACAAGCAACCGCGAGGAACGGTCCTTTGCGGGTATTATGCGTGCGAATTCCTTAGGGTTAATGGACGGTACAGGACTAACGCGGAAGATGTAAGTCTCTATACTATGTACTAGACAGCTTCACATATTTATAATACTAATATATTGATTAACTTCAATGCATGCAGTTGCCAAGATTAGAATGTCGAACAAGCTTTGACGATACAGGTATCACAAATGTCCAGTGTGATCTGTGCCACTTCATCCACCATAAGTGCTGTCATGTGAAAGGAGATTTCTTTGACCCAGAGGGTGCCCTAGCGGCAAGTGATAAATTCAAGGATATTCGGGAGTGGAACACTGCTATGCCATAATGTAACTAGATGACGTTATTTGAAGTGACAATGTAAAAAAATATTGTAATATATATATTTTGGCAACACTTTTGAGTTATGCAATATATATAGATTTCTCAGTACCAAATGCTTGATAATCTTCCAAAATATGTACATAATAATCTACCTGCAAGAATTTCTATTAAATAATTTAAAAGTAGTTTACGGGCAAATTATTATTAAATTTCAATATTTTCTACCTACCTTCGCAGGCGGAAGTTTTTTTTTGCAGGCGGCCGATTCCTATTTTCGCAGGCGGACCAGACTAGCCAACGTCCGCCCCGCCTGCGAAGATCGGTGATCTTCACAGTCGTTGGCTTACAGGCGGACGGCTGCCCCGCCTGCGAAGACCCTTTTCGGCCGCTTGTGATAATGCTTTTCCTAGTAGTGCATGAAGGTGGTGATGAGCCCATTGCTGTCTCCTAGCACGACGCATAGATGATGGCTGCAAAGAAGCCGCCACCACCTTCTCCGTCCAGATCGCCGTTGTCGCATCTCGCACTCATGTTGGCATCTCGCTCTCGATAAAGCCGCAAATCTAGTCTCCTCCTCGGTCTCCGCCGCAAGGAGGCTGCAGATCCCAAACTCAAGGAGGCAGCCGCTGGCGCGCTTCTCTTCCTCGGCTTATAGCTCAACGAGACGGTAGGTTGCTGTCGCGGCTCCTTCTGTGCGAGCAACCAGCACTGCGACAGTGTTTGCTGTGAAGAGGTCCAGGAGGAGGCCCGGTAGGGCCAGCCACTACCGTCATCGCAAGCTTCAGCTATGGCAGGGAGGGGGAAATGAGAGAAAGAGATAGAGAGAGGGGAAAGGGGAGAGTATGATAGGTGGGGCCTACCTATCTTTTAGAAAAAATAATATGTTGATTGCACTGCCGCGTAGGACCAAAATCACTCCGGATTGAATAGGGGCAAGGAGAGATTATTTGTCCGGTTTAAATAGTTGATGGTGCAAAATGTCTGGTATTTGTGTTCAGGGAGATAATTCGGCTAACCACAATAATTTAGGTATTTGTGTTGAAGGAGATAATTCGGCCAACCACAATAATTTAGGGGTAATTCAAACTTTTTCATTAGAAAAAACTGGATGGCAAAGTGGTTCAAAATGATTTTTTTCTAACTTTTCTTTCTTAACCTATTGCAACACATAGGTATTTTGCTAGTACATTAAAAAACCGGAAGAGAACCCAAAGAAAAACCAAGTAAAAAGGAAAAAATACAAGGGAAAAACTAGGAAAGAACCGCATAAAAAGAAAAAAACCGGAAGGTACGTGTGTGCTCTCCCACCGCCCTCCTCTCCGCACGCGCCACGTGGTTGCACCGCACGGGAGGGAGGGCGCGCGACTGACCACTAATTAGCGGTTTCGCACCGAGTCGGTAGAGCTCAAGAAGTGCATGCCGCCGGAGTTCGAGCAGGGTTTGAAATTCCGGATGGTGTCGATAATATATATATATATATATATATATATATATATATATATATATATATATATATATGTGGCGGTCAAATATTTTGGTCAACAGGTTAGAATCGGTCAAAATCCATATTTCCTCTTCCCCGAACCCCAATCTTCTGTTTCAGCCCCTTTCCTTCCCCATCCCCATCTCTCTGGCGACTGTGGCGCGGCAGCTGCCCGGAGACCTCGATGCTGGTTGGAGCTGCGGCCTGCGGCGCAGCGCTTCTCCGGTGAAGTTGATAACAGCAGCTCTCTGGCGACGCCAGCGTACTTGCAGCTCTCCTGTGGCTGGAGCGGAAGTTCCACGGTTCCGAGCTCGACGGCAGCAGCAGCGGCCGAGCGACGTGCGGTGGCTCCACGGCTCTCTGCGCACGGCGTCGATGGTTGAAGACATGGGTGGCGGAGGCTCAAGCAGCTGGGAAAATTTTCTTCCCATGCTGTTCAACTCACCGATTAAATTCATCGTTGCTCTCGTAGTCTCGTGCTGGCGATATGCTAATCTCTGTTGGTAAAATTTCCTCAAATTTGTACGTCAACCACGCCGGCCTCAGATCCGTCGTGGAGGGGCTCGTCGCCGGTTGCGCGCCAAACCATGTGGTCAAGAAGGCCTTGCTAGTTTAATCCTCAAGATATCTTTTTAAGATAATGAAATCCTTAAAATATATTAATAAGATACTACGATGATGTGGAAAAATATCTTGATCATGTCAATCAGTCAATGAGCTATACTCACCTCGAGAAAGATCTAAATAATAGACACCCCATTTCACACCATAAGACTTCCGGACACAAAGCTACCTGGGTAGCTATGGCTGATAACCTTAGAAAAATAAATAAAGCAATAAAAATAATTTAATTTATGACCAAACTTTTCATTTAAAATGCTGGAAGAGACCACAATGAAAAAAAAAACCCTAAAATTGAGCTTTAAAAAATAAATTTTGGTTGCACCGGATAAGCTACAAGCAGACGATAAGAGGTTATAGTTGAATATCTTAGAAATAACTTTGGAGAATAGGAAATACTTAGTGATATGCAGATGCTTCTTGTGAATGTAAGAAGATAATCATTGTATTAATTATGGGGAGATAAAAATAGACTCAATAAATTCACATGTAAGGCTTATACACAAAAAGATTAAAGAAAGCATAGACCTTATAAAAACAATCAGAGAGAGAGAGTAGCTCACTAAACAAATGAAGTCCGAACAAATGAATTTATAAATATAGACAAAATAATAGGCAAACATTTTAGTACAGGTAAACTTACCTTTTTCAAGTCCTCGGCCTATCTAACAGTCCAGCTGGGTACGCAGTGTGGACAAAGATTACTCACAACCCTTGAGTTGAGCCATTACATGAAACTACTAATAACAGCCTTTTCAGGTCTCCCCAAGATATATATTACCTAACGATTATACATTTTGATTTGGTACGATGCCATATACACATGATCTGCCAAAACAATGAGGCAATTACTTTACCCTGAACTGAATAACACTGACCTGCTGAAAGATTGATCATAGCTAGACACAATCACCACCAAATACCATGTCCTACTATTACTGCCTAAATGGCCAATTTTCTCAAGAGGCGGCATTGCTCAAAAATGAATTCATGGTCCAATTGTGCCAGTGTCGAAGTAGAGCGTCGTCCCGGACGATCCACCCGCCACGCCCTCCATGAGCGCGAACCGCATCCCGTCCGATGGCTTCCAGTGCCTCTTCCTCTGGTTGATGAACCAATTGTTGATCTGCTTTGGGTCAAGACCTGTCCTCGCTGCAAGCCTCAGCTTATCTTCTTCCTGTCAATCAGCACCACAACGTCAGACAATATATACTAACATAATGTACCACAAAATTTCAGTTACAGAAAAGAAGGGATGCAAGTGGGGCAGACAAGCGGGCTTTTCTTGCCCGCTTATCACAATTTTAGTTGATATTTTCTTCTAAATTTTGTACTAGCAAGTAGAAAATGAACTGTAATGCGGGTTTTTATATAGGTAGCGGGATTGCCCACTTCCATCTCTACAGAAAAGGAAACACAGTGATCATATTACCGTGGGATATGGCCAGCGGTAGTGTGTGTTCCACCATTCAAGCAGTGCCGACCGTGCGTCCTTTGGTAGCTTCCCTTTCTTCCGCTTCTTCAGGAACTCGGACCGGAGCCGGCTGAGGCAGCCACTGTACTTCTTCAGAAGCATTTCCTTGAGTTCGTGGTCAGCTAAGCGGGAGCTTTGCTCTTGCCCTATATCTAGCATATCAGTCTCCCCCGAGCACTGGTCTTCGTCGGAGGACCCCACCATTTCATCTGCCATGAAATTATAAATGAGCGAGGGATAACCATTTTGCATGACATTCCTGAGAAATATGCTTACAGAGTAAATGGGAAAAACTAAAACTAGAAAATATGGGTCATGATTCACAATTAATAGTGTTGGGCGCACCAAGTTACAATTCACAATATATATAGAAATCAATTCCATAGATGGAGATATCAATAATTCAAAAAAACAAGTATCAAGCTATATTAGAGAAAATTAATGCCATATGCCCATATCCTTCAGAATTGAGCAGCAAAAATTAGCATGCTTGTAGTCCCAAATTCCCATCGTCAGAAGCCCAGAACATGATTCCAAGGAAGAAAAACAGGGCCAAATTCTAGACTGGCAGGGATGAATTTGAGCATCTTGATTGATGTTCTTTCAAAACAAGTAATATATATATTGCAAAGTATTTCCATGCCATTAGTTCACCAAAGAAATGTATTAGAACATAAAAAAGGAGAAAATTCTACATAACTTCTACAGAAGCAGAACTGTAATAAAAACACTAAGTTAATTATTTTTTAAATTTTGGACAATACTAGCAAGATGGGGACAAAAACAAAACCAAAGCCATGTTAAACAATCAATTTGCAGATGTATAAAATACCATCTTTTTTGTTAAACTGAAAGTGTAGTGTATGTAATATTACAAATCAAGAGAGTTTCTTTTGTTATACAGTATTAGTATCTTGTGTTAGCTCAACAATCATAGATCGACTCAAGAAGTTCTCATGAGGTCAACAATGCATGGAAGGTTTATTTAACAGATAGGCAAAATCCCTATGGTATAAGTTAATTAAGAACCCTTTTCTCACTATAGTCTTTTGGAGAAATGTTTCAGTGTACTAGTAAGGACAATGACTTTTAAGGAAATGCAATCCGAGTTCCCCTTGTCTCACATGTCATTATATTTATAAAGCCATCAACTTATGTACATTTGAAACTTACATTTTTAAGAAATACCAAGTGCCTCTATCCCTATAACCCAATTACAATTAGATTCTCAAAACAGTTCCTTGTTTCGGCAGCATGCGACATTACGGCTAGTAAGGCAAAAGGTAATGATAAATTCAAAGTTCACCTTTTCAAATAGTGAAAGCCGAATTTCACAATAAAAAGTAGGTGATGAAAATTGCCATACATGTTTCACACGAAACCAACATAGGCTCCAACAACAGTCAAACATAATCTGTATTCATATTCAAGTCTCCGCAATATTAACATTTTTTACCATCCAAGAAAAGTTCCCATTTGCAATGTCTTCACAGCTATATTATTCCAAACCATACTTCCTATATAATATTGTGAGGTCTGCCTGCAGCAGACATACATCATGTTTTTTTTGGAAACAACAGACATACATCATGGAGCTATCACTTGTGGTGGACCTACTTTGGAGGTACATATATATATTCTCTTGGCAGAACTAAGGCTTTGCCTTTTTCCTTCTTTGCCAGACTATCAATGCTGCCAACTTGACACGACAGAAACCATCAAGTAATTGCCCCCAGGCAGTTTTGCACGGAGCTAGATAATTCATGTAGAGTAAACTCTGAAATTTTGTTTCTACAGGTACCATTATATGTAGAAGTCTATTTGGATTTCATATACAACTCTTAGGTTATATTTTCTATAAGGTCTGGTTTCATATAGAACTCTTAGATTCTATTTTTATAGGCTTAGATTTCATATACAACTCTTAACTTCTATTTCTATAGATACAATTGAATTTTGTATACAACAATATCAATCAACCTATACCGTTATAATCCGGACCCACTATGATGTAACGGTTAATATCTTTTTCTTTTTCTCTGATTAATGTAAGAATTTCTAGCCTCTAGGGCGAACGTGGTGTCTCCTTTTAAGGCTGATAATATAATAGATTAAGAGCAGAAAAAGTGTGTAGCGAGCGACCACGCATAACACAAGTCAAGGACCGTATTATCACTAGCGTTTTGTGAATAAAATCAGTTCATAAATTATACACAAACAAAAACTTTTTGCAAGCTAACATGAAACACCTTCAGAAGCAGTTTGGCACATAAAGCATAATGAATAGGTAATTCCTGATATATGTCCATAAGCAATAATACAACTTTTGGATGTGAAGGGGCAGACCCTCCCTTGTGGCATGCTGTGGCAGCTGCCATAGCTACACTACTGCATAGATAGCCTATATACTCCTTCATATCCGAGCTGCCTAGGACCCCAAGCAGCCATTCATGGATTGGTGAGGGTGGTAACAGCGCTAAGATGAGGAGCTAACTTGCTGCAATGCCGCTTTACTACTTAAGGGGAAATTTGGTTCTTTACTTTACTTTACTAATCTGCTTCAAAATTTAGATTATATGTTAATTAAGTGATTAATTGGCTTGGTAAGGAGGGATTGAAGAAATTTTACTCATATATTTTACTGTGCCATATCTAAAATTTTAGATTGGGCCCGCCACTTGTGCCAAAAGATCATTGTAGTCTCACTAAGCTCACTTCAAAGATGAAACTCAGAAAATGAGATATCCATGGATAGAAATGGTAATAATGGGCTCGATATCCAATCATCCCCAGCTGTGATTTTTTTCTTCTCATAGTGGGAATGCCTAGCTGTTAGGAACTAGCTCCCCTTCTGGCCAGGGCCCAGCGACATGTGGGGGACCTAAGAAAGTTTGTATATAAGTGTAAACCCTAAGTCCATCTTCCTGTTATTTCGTCAACTGTACTGCTTTTGCAATATTGCTACATAAACACTATTACTCTGCTAAATATAACAATCATCTTTTCTGTATGAATATATGAAAGGCATACAGGAAATTATGCTATCTACCATATTAATTACTGTGCAAAACTCCAAACTACTTAAAAATGCGGCTGGAATTATAAGGAATTCTTCCAAAAATCCAGAAATCCAGTTTGCATATGCTAGAATAATCCAGAATAACAGGCAAACTATCGGCATATTGATCTTTAATTTCACTTGCCTTTTGGAATCTCTGTATACTCAGTTCAACAATTTTTTTTAAAAAAAATAGAAAAACAGAGAACTGCACAATCTTGTCAAATCAAAATATGGAATTATTGTCTTCTTATATAATACTTTCCCCGTCCCAAAATAGTTCTCTTTATAGTTTAAAATTTATCCCACACTAGTTGTCACTTAAGAGTACAAGTTGTCCCATCAATCACATCCAATTCAAATTTCTACCCATCCTATCCTCGCCATCCTCCTACTTTCATTCAAATAAGAGACATTATAGTCTTCTCTTCCCAAACCTTGATTTATGCTAAACAATCTAGAACAACAAGTGAATTAATATGAAGCATTCAGATATCAATTATAAAAATCCAATATTCCTACTATAACTTTTTTATTTTAACACTGATCGCTATATTGCTCTATTGTTACTATCAGGTCTTATTAAAAAGATTTACCTTAGCAAGGTTGACAATTTGCAATTCAGTAGTGCTCAATCAGTAGTAGTGATAAAAAACAACTTCATGGGTAAATAATTCATCTTTCACAATCCAATAAAATCTTATTTTGCAATTTGCAGAAAAAGTTTTCAACATCAAGGAAGAGATAGGTCTATCGTTACTTTAGAAAATAACCCCTTAATTAAATATATCCTTTAATACTAAGGCCCTGTTTAGATTCCAACTTTTTTCTTCAAACTTCCAACTTTTCCGTCACATCGAACTTTCCTACACACACAAACTTCCAACTTTTCCGTCACATCGTTCCAATTTCTTCAAACTTTCAATTTTGGTGTGAAACTAAACACAGCCTAAGGCATTGTACGATATCACTACTAATCTGTTGGTAACATAAATTTCTACTCCTACATGCCTAGCTACCATACCCCCTCAAAACGTCCCATCAGTGTTCATCTCTTCAAATCATCCGATATGACAGGAATAACCACAGTTATCTCCATAAAATAGTGAATCTGGATGGCTAGCAAACATAAGCACTACATTTCCTATAGCCAAAGATTTGTGAAAACTACTATATTATGCTTTCAATTAGCATCCGTAAAAAGACAAGCGATCCAATCCCACACCTCCAACGTGTTGAGAAGAAAAGAAAACAAGTTTGTACTACTACTACTACTACTGCAACAATATTTTTACACAACAAAAAAAATGTAGAGAAAACAAAACTCACCACCAGAAATTACCACTACCGTAGTGAGATATTGATACGTCTTGTCAAAGTACAGCAACCGAATCCGGCAAGAGATCTCCTAACCACGGACCCTAATAAAAAAACTTAGTTTTACAGTTTTTTTTTTCACTCACTGCTCAGTACACAACCGCTGGTTGTAACCGCAGGTGGCTACCATAGCCATAGCTTGCAGGCAAGAGCAAAGATTCTCACTTTTGTCAAAGCAAGCTCAGGTTCCATCAACCAGCCTACTAGCTACGAAAGGCTATAGCTAGCCACACAAACACTTGGGTGTTTAGATAAGCGCGTGTGACATCGGGTATTATATAGGGTGTCGCATGGGGTGTTCGAACACTAATAAAAAAACTAATTACAAAATCCATTGGTAAACGAAACCACGAGATGAATTTATTAAGCCTAATTAATCCATCATTAGCAAATGTTTACTGCAGCATCACATTGTCAATTCATGGAGTAATTAGGTTTAAAAGATTCATCTCGCAAATTAGTCCAATCTATACAATTATTTATTTTTTTAGCATATATTTAATCCTTTTTAAATGTTCGATGTGACAGTGGGATCTAAACTGGGCCAGGAGACACACGCAAGGCAAGGGAGGGTGTGTTTAGTTCACGCCAAAGTTTGAAATTGGAATGATGTGATGGAAAAGTTAGAAGTTTATATGTGTAGGAAAGTTTTAATGTGATGAAAAAGTTAGAAGTTTGAAGAAAAAATTTAGAACTACCCGGAGTTGATGAGATATGGCTATGTGTATGTAGAATTGCAGAGAGAAAAAAAAAGGAGAGAAAGAAGCCTACAAACCTTGGACAAAACCCTACACAAGCAACTTCCCAATGGTTTTACTCCACCCTTCCCTCTCCCTCTGACACTCCTGCTCCCCATTTGCATGGACACGATTTGACCTCTCACAAGAACACCATTGTTACACGCACACGGTTTCTCTCCATTCTCCCAACAGCAACAAAGCTACTACTAGCATACACACACAATGCGATGTATACCCAAAAAAAAAAAAAGAAAAGAAAACAAGAAGCGCAGTACTACTACTGCCATGTATGCATGCAAATGTAGTGAATATGTTGGTTACCGGAGTGCGTGGCGGTGGTGGCCGGCGGCGAGGTGGCGCCGCTGCAGAGGTTGCTGAGCTGCGTCTGGATGCTGCTGAGGAAAGACGCCGCCTCGTCGAACGGCCGGGACAGCTCCTCCTTGTAGCGCACCAGCACCCGGCAGTACGCCTCCTGTGTGATTAACAAACAACACACACGCGCGCATGTGCACATGTAATAATAATAATCAATCAAGCAACGGATTGGGCTGGGTGAGGAGAGAAATCTAGTCTAGTCGTCGCCGGTCACCACAGAAATCACACGGCGAATTTAATTGTCATCACATCGCTGCGACAGGGTGTGTCAAAGGGTTCGAACCATGAACTCGTCGAGCTCGGGGTCGACGCCGATCTGCCCGGCGCCGCCGCCGCCGCCGCCGGCGCGCCTCTCCCGGCCGATCTCCTTCAGCAGCGACGCCACCTCCGGAGGCGCTCCCACCTCAAACCACCAAGAAACACAACCATGAATTAGACGCATATATACAGTGTCACAAATTAACAAGTATTCTTCTTCTTTTGCCCAATTCTTGGCATTCACAAGGTACAACCACCAAGATCGATCTCACGTAGGAAGAGCATAAACTAGCTTAGCCATACCTTGCGACACTCGATGTAGGCGGAGAGGAGGGTCGGGTAGCGCGGGTGACCGGCGATCTGAGCCTTCATGAGCTCCGTCAGATCCGACGACGACGACCCGCCGCCGCCGCCGACGACGACGCCCACGCCGGACGCCTCGCTCGCCGCGCCGCCGACCCGCGAGATCCCCGGGTGGATGCTGTACAGATCCTCCATCTACGTACCAGCAGCAGCAGCCGCAGCAGCTCACCACCTATGCTGCTGCATCGCAATTCACAACTATAGACGATCACTATGCCCGCACAAGCGGTAATCTAGTACCACTGTAGCGAGCCTGTGTTACTCGCTGGTGTTCTTGTTCTTGCTACATACGGGGGCAGGCAGGGAGGCAGAGGCTCATGGGGGAATTCAGCAGCTGCTTGCACTGCAGCTAGCTGTAAGCTGGAGAGAACTAGAGAAGGCGTGTGCAGGTGCAGCAGCTTCAGCTTGTGATATCTGCAGGGGAAAGAGAGAGAGTGTGATTGGGAAAGAGCAGGTAGAGACTAGAGTATATTATATTATTATTATATGTGGAAAAGAAGAAGAAATTAAAGAAAGATTGGGGTTAGGGGGCTAGGGGCTGAGGTAATTGACTGGTATATATTTTTCTTGGGAGAGAGTTTGGGAGCATTGTTAAATTATTGTCTTATGGGTTTATTAATTTGCATGGTTGGACTATTGTGTGTGTGAGCTGGTGATTTTTATTTATTTTTTCTCTCTGAAGGTAGCTGGTGGTGTTTGGAGGTATGCAGATCTAGAAGGATGGAGTTGATCATCCCCTGAATTTAATATGGTTTTCTCCCATGTGTTATCCTTCCAACATATTTTTTTTACTTATAAGATAATATAATTAGTTTTCTAACCATAAAGTTATCGGGTACTAAAATATTGGAGATGTGATCTATCACATGACTAACTATAAATTTGCCTTAAATAGCAATAGGCTACATAATTCTATTTTAAGGGAATTATTGGTTTGGAGTACACCTCAAGAAGTTAGTACACGAAGAGGAAATTGCATGTTGCACACTACCAAAATGGATTCAATACTTGGGGTTTTGTTGAAAATAGCATGGTCCACCTTGTTTTAAAAAAAATCAGTGTCGTCACCACAAGTACAGGATAGTGAGCACATTACATTTATCAATGAAAAGGACCATCTGGTGAAAGCATGCAGAGTGCTTTTGTAAAAAAAAAAAATGTGGTAAATGTAGGATCGAATCACAATAACTAAGCCAACCAGAGGGGGGTGAATGGTTGGTATACCCAAAAACCGAAAACTTTTAGAGGAAATAAAAGTTACCCTCGAATTCGACGGATTGTGGTCTGACCGAGATTGATCTGTCGGTCTGACCGAGTGGATGCCGCCGGTCTGACCGATGTTGAATCTCCGGTCTGACCGCCGAAGTCGCCTGTCGCCGCCGCCGGTCTGACCGCCGTGCTCCCGCCGGTCTGACCGCCGCTTGCCGCCGGTCTGACCGCTGGTGAGTTGCCGGTTAGACCGCCGAAACCCGGTGAAACACAAATCGAAGAACTCTTAAAGTAGATGACGACTTTATTAATTCTCTCTGTGTTTACAAAGTGCACCAACAGCACTCCTTACAAAAATTTCGACTAAACTCGAAACCCTGACTCAAAACTCAAATCAATTGCTTTCTAAAGCAATACCGGGAAGCCTCACGCTCCCCCTCTATTTATACCCGAGGTAGGCAGCCTAAAGCCACGAACCAAACTCATACTAGGAGTCCTAAACACCTTAGGAAACTCTCTAGTACAAGAAACAAACTTTATATAACCAATCATACCAAATTTGGACTCCTTCCAAATTCGACTCCGCATCCCATACGCACACAATACCTCCATCGTATGCCATATGGAATCTCCATCAACCACGTGCATCAACTCTAGCCTAAGTATCCCGCATGATCTCTGACCACCACGGACGTCGTCTTATCCCCAAGCCGACTCTCAGTCCATCACCGCAAATACTCTCCCGAGGCATCGAGTCACCTACACATGAAATAAACAAAGAAACCATATTCCGAGACAGCGTCGGCCGGTCAGACCGTGTTCCGAAGCTATCTCCAACTTGACTCATTAGTAGCAAACAACAGTATTACATACGTACAGTATCCATCTAGAAGTCATAATCATGAAATAATCACGGATATCCAAACAAACAACCCGAAACCGAAACCGACACAGCGTCGGCCGGTCAGACCATGGGCTGGGCTGGCCAGTCTAACCGCTCGATCACCACCGGTCTGACCAGCATACACAGCCCGGTCTGACCGGTCACATGAAATAATGAACCCGCGATTCACCTGTAAATCCAATCATCTCCAAAACCACTTCATGAATAAATTCCAAATAACAAAACCAATAATCTCCAATGCCTAATTGTTCATCACAGAATAATAATCAAAAACACCTTTGATTTTACAATCTCCCCCTTGATGAACACATTGGCAAACTCATAAAAATGTTTTGGTGTTTGGAAAAATAAAAACAAAAGTGGTAAAAAGCACACTTCGTACAAACGTACACATCGTGCTCAAAAATCCAAAAGAAAATTTCTCCCCCTTTTTAAAAGAAAGAACCTTGCTTCTCAAAACTCATCTCTTTTCCCCCTTTTGACAATGATTTCATCAAGCATAGGAATTATGTTTATTAACGTTCAAGAGCTTAGCATACATATAGCATATCATGTCATGTGTTGCAATAAAAAGAAGATAAACCCATCTATAACATCACAAGCATGCATTAAAGTATAACCATGAACCAAAGATTTTACAATTAAGCTTGAATCAACAATCGAAATTCATGATTTCATACTATTTATAATGCAACATCTTAACAAGCACATAGGTTGAAGAATAAACACTAAACACATATACCTATTGCATTTATCATTCTTTCTCAAATAACCTTTAGCACAAAATAACCAATAGAATTTTTTAACCTTTTCTTTCTAGAGCCTTTTTGCTCATATTTTTCTCTTTTATTCCGGGTACGTCCCTGTCGTCAAGACTGTTTCCAGGGATTCGGCACCAATTATTTTGCTCACATCGAATACGTCCTTGTCGTCAAGACTGTTTCCAAGGATTGGGTATTCATTTTTTTCATATTTCTTATTCTCTTTTTCACAATGAGCAATTAAAACTATTTGAGGAATAACAAGTCAATAAAGCATATATATAGAGCATTTATACATCAAACCATATGCTAACATCAACATTGCATATTTTCTTAATTCAAGTAGAATTTAAATGTCATGCATCATCTCCCTTAAAAGTAAAATCTAAATCTCATGAAAAGACTAGAATACATATAAGCTATGCTAGAGACAAATAAACTTTCAAAGTATTGCTAGCATGCACAAGAAAATACCATATGTATAAACAAAGCTCTCTTTTCTCAATTTTTTCATTGTCATATTATTGCTTGATAAAACCATGAGGTACAAACTCCCCCTCAAACCATGCCAAAAGGATGAATTATGCCCAATTCACCACGAAGAAAAGCAAAGCGATTAGAATCCAAAGGTTTAGTGAAAATATCAGCAATTTGCAACTTGGTGTCCAAAAACTGCAATTCAACATCTCCCTTCTCAACATGATCCCTCAAAAAGTGAAATCGAATATCAATGTGCTTTGTGCATGAGTGTTGAACATGATTCTTAGCAATGTTAATAGCACTAGTATTATCACAAAAGAGAGGTACTTTCTCAAAAGTAAGACCATAATCTTTCAAAGTAGATAAAAGCCAAAGAATCTGTGAACAACAACTAGCAGCAGCAACATATTCAGATTCAGCAGTTGATTGAGCAACACCAGATTGTTTCCTAGAAGACCATGCAATCAATGATGTACCCAGAAAATGGCATGTTCCACTAGTACTTTTCCTATCAATTCTACAACCACCAAAATCAGCATCGGAATATCCACTTAAGCATACAGAAGATGAAGTAGAATACCAAAAAAGAAAAAACAATGTAAAAAAAATAAGTGCACTAAAACTCTAAATAAGAAATATATAGCATACAAATTTCAAGTTCATGTTTAGTTTGTGTCAAGAAAAATGAAAAGCAGAAGTGCCTAGCATATGTAGGCCAAAACTGCATTGACGAAAGAAAAAAAGTAGACAAGGCAAAAGTTCTTTAAAAACAATAATATATACTAGCTTCATCTTGATTCACTACGGTTATTTTGATTTAATAAAATATTGCACACACTATGTACTCTCTTTGAATGTATGAGCTTTCTCCCCTCAGGCCCACCCCTTTCATTCAAAGGAAATTCATAGAAATTTTAGAGAATTTCATCCTATAGGAATTTTTCTTATATGGCCCTTTGAATCAAAGAAAAGAAACCTTTAAAATCCTTTGAAATTCCTATGTAATGCCTCTTCCCATGCAAGTTTTGGAGGAAATTTAACATGAGATAGAACCTCATGGAAAGAATCCTTTGAGTCTTTATCTCTCCTCATATTCCTGTGTTTTTCTTGCGGCCAATCAAACGGTCATTCCTATGTATTTTATATGTTTTGCTATCCTCTGATTTATGCTTGCATTCTTGTCAAAATCCTATGTTTTATGTTTTTTTTTCATTCCTGTGATTCAAAGGGGCCCTTAAAATGTGTTACCTTTTATAATATCACTTTTCACTAATTAAAAGATGCACAAAAGGGATGGCATTATAGGTACTGAAAATACTAAAACCGACACATATAGACCTTTTTCCACCTTTGTGGGCTGAAAAGATGTAGAAACGACAGCTCTGAGCAATTATACATGCTGGTTCTAGAGAAAAGAAAAGCAGGCATATACTATAGGTGTCCTTTTAAAAAAATGATACCTTTAATATAATATAGGTGCTAGTTAATTAAAAGACCAGCACCAGTAAACCGAGTCGAGCCGAACCAGTAGATGTGACGGAGATACTTTTAGCACCACACCCACGATGAGTACTAGTACTCGACCTTCTCCTCTCCTCCTCCTCCTCCTCCTTCTCTCTCTTTCCACCCTTCGCTTCCCCATCCTCCTCTCTTCCTCCGTCCACACCCACCGCGAGATTACTGTCGATCGCCACTGGGATAGAGCATCGGATCGGAATCTCCCATCCTTCCCTTCCCCATCCTCCTCCTCCTCCTCCTCCTCCTCCTCTCTCTCTCTATCTATCTATCTATCTATCTATCTCTCTCTCTCTATCTATCTCACTCTCTCTCTCTCTCTCCCGTCCTTCCCATCCCCTTATTCTCCTCTACTTTCTCATCGATCGAAGCCGGTATCACGCGTTAGATCGGCGACGGAGGGCGACCTTGCGGTCGGTTTTGGAGGGGAGGCAGCGGAGAGGTGGATGTGGCTGGGTTGGTAGGTGTTCAACCATGGCCTGGGGGACACAGGATCCGACGGAGGTTCTCGTTGGCAGATCCTGCGGCGGCTTCTCCCATGGGTGGCGATGGCGGCGGTGGCTTCTTGTTGATTTTGTTCATGGATGTTT